GCGGTAAAGTGGTCGGGATGAAGCGGTCAGTTTACCTACGAAGCGGCGAAGAAGGTTAGGTCTGCCCAACCCGCAATGTTGAAAATTGCTTCCCATTGACTGATATAAAGAGAAAGCTGAGCCAAGCTAATGTTAAAAGTTACAGCCGGTTCTCGTATCCCGAAGTCGAGCGCGGCATCCGAATCTTCCTAAAAGACCGGGAAATCCTGTGGTACAAAGGTGAAAACAGGTCAGGGCGAACCGGTGAAATGAAAGTGAACGACAAGTAAATACTCAGAAGAATAAGCCTGACCTTGCTTGGTTGGTTGACGCTTTGTTTAACTGGTGTTTGGAACAACAGAGATTTCACTACATAACGCATGCTCAAAGTCTTTGATCGGCTGAAGAAGACACGCGACCCATTGGAAAACTTCCATAGACCGGAGAACGAATAAAAGACTCTTCTTGTTGCAGGCTTGGACAGGTCTGAGGACTATGTGTAAGTCACACCGTTGTCTATTTCGAAATTGAAAAGGCAAGGATTAGAGAAAAGGTAGCCCCAAAAAACTGCGGGAGGAAAAGTAAAGGAAGGACCTCTAATTTGGCGTTTCGACTGTTCGATCATATGCCTGACAACCGAAGTGGCTGTAATTAGTATTTATACCCTACACAAATATGTGTTAAAAGTATCATAACTCTGTGTGCCCCAAATGTTTGTAACGCCGCCAACTATTGGTCCTATACACACCTTTAAGTATACCGATCCTCATATCTCTAGCTGAGTCTAGCTGATTGGATCTAGACATGTGTGTCTGTCCGGCCGTCAGCATGACCATTACAATCGTAAACACGATACAAGTTGCGGTTATGGACCACGAAATGTTGCACGTGGGGCCGCTTCTGGCCAAAGAAGGCCCCTATTGTTTTTAGTACTGATGAGTTAATATTTATGTCCTTCTTTACATTCTCCACCAATTCTTAATTCTCCACCAATTTTATTATGATTACATCTATGATATACTCCCCATCTGCATTCGTCCCTGCTACGGCGTATATATATATATATATATATATTCATGAAGGACAAAGACCGGAGTAGTTGATAGTATATCCAAGAATGGTTAACCATTACCACACTAGACAAAAACTTAGAGGTCAGTGGTTGATGTTTGGGTATCATATGATCGGCCCCGTCCAACTACACTGCTCCACTCACTGTTTTTATTTTAAAAGTACAGAAAATTAGAACATACAATTTTTATGGAGCATACGTGCAGAATCCTAAAAGACTGCCAAAATTTTAGATACATATAATGGAATAATTCTCAATGCGTTGAGAGGTTGCACATAGTGGGAAGCCAAATAGTATTCCTAGATTAACTACAAACTAAGTTTCGGACAGTCAGCGGGTTTTGGCGGAGAGTCTCGGGAAACCGGCAGAGTGACTATAATCCCAATATCGACGAGGTGTCTTACTAAAGTGTCCTTTCAAATGCTGGAGTGTTAGGCGATTTCGTGTCCATGTGCATTTCATGATTTGCAGTCTAGCTGCCGATTTTTTCGAAGAGAGTCCTCAGAACAAAACGCACCCCTGCCCCTTTGAAACCCAAACAAAATAATTGCGAATTTATGTCGGTATTGTGGTTGCCTCAACACCCTACGCCCCTACTTCTCTAGGTATAGAAAGAGAACTTTGTAAACAATCACCCATCCCTCTGCTTTTAAAACACACTAAATTATAGTGATTATACCCTTCACCACACTGTGGTACCGGCTATTATGCCTTTGTGCATATGTTTGTAACAGACAAAAGGAAACGACATAGGCACATGGTTCCTTTTGAGAATATGCATAGAATCACTTTCTGAATCGATTTATGCATGTCCGTCCGTCAGTTGGTGTTAAATTGTAAACAAAGTACAGGTCGCATTTATGATCCGAATTGGATGAAAGTTGGCATAGGTCACTTATTTGGCCCAAGAACCCTATTGAAATTGGGAAAAATCGGTTCAGATTTAGATATAGCTCCCATATATATTTTCGTTCGATTTTAGATAAATGGTGCACCTATATATATTTCGATTTGCACAGCCGATTTTGGCTGATGATTACCAAAATTTCAGAGAATTTAAATTAAGGACCGTTGTATCTAAAAACGTGAAGAACTTTAAAACATGCTAAGTCGACTTAGCATACTATGGTTCGGAGGCGTCGATATATCTTTCGTTCAATTTCTTGTCAATGTTCTTTCGAAAAGGCGAAGACTGTATATATACTCAAAGTGGTTTCATATTAAAATAACGCATTTAAAGCTGTTTATTAATAAGACAATGCGTCCACAGGTTGCATATAGTGGAAAACCCCAAATATTCATTCAAAAGCTTCGAGAGCTTAACAGTCAGCCGATTTTATGGGATAGTCTCGAAGGAAATGATCAATTGCCTATGATCCCAATATCAATTAAGCAAAATTGGCGACGCTAAATAGCCAATCCCTAGGCTTTAGGCCACCTGCCTAACGATGGATTGTTAAACGACAGTGTCTATCACAGTTTGCAGCCAGGATACCGACTATTTTCGAAGATAGTCTTCTTAACGAAAAAAAGAACCCCAGCCCCTTCTAAAAGCACAAAAAATTATAGAGAATTTTTCTTCGATTGATGTTCGTGTGGCTGCCTGGGCACCCTCCGTCTTAACTTTTACAAGCTTCGTCGTAAGTAACCAATCCCTAGGTCTCAAACTGTTCACGCTACCGCGACGTCATACCCATTGGTGCTTCATGGTGAGCAGCAAGGATACAGATTGTATTCAAACGAATGTTTTTGAGGTTGCCTTGTTACCTTTTTCTCGAAGCTTCAGTTATTAATTTTACCTCACCTATGATATCTGCCACAACCAAGGTTTCAATAGGCTTTTCTCTTAACCCTCCCAACCCTATTACTTGAGCCTGGAAAGCCAGCAGATATTCTCCTCTATTTAATTGAGGAAATCGGTTCTTCCCATCTCATCCCATCTCTGGGATGACTCCCGTTTCACGACCGATTATGACGCTATGGATTCGACAGTGATTCCGGTGACTCTAAAAATCCACAGATCAATGGTATTTTGCCTTGGAAGCATAGTTTTGATACTGAGGTTTCCACCGGAATCCCTGTTGTATTGACAACAGTGGATTGCGGTATGAAACCATGTGATTGCGTCAGTCATCAAATGTCAATTTAGACTTACTCGTCCGGGGTCTGTCACGTCCTCCCGTCCTATGTCACGTCCTCATTGTGCTAAACAGTGGATCTGTTACAAACACAACAAACAAATGTGTCAATGCTATCGAAGTTAAGTTCATCGACAATAAATTCCATCAGATCATGAGGAACCATCAGAAGTTCCGACCCAAAGGATATTTCGAATGACTTTTTGATCGAAAAGAATTCCAACGTTGGGTGGCTCTATTTTTTATAGCCCAAGCACGGCTGGGAAAATTATGCCAAGAATTTCTGATCAATCAGGACCTTAAAGGGGTTCCCTAAATGAGAAGAAATCTTGACAACTTCTACAATTACGAAAGAAGGACTGCGAGTATTTAAGACGTCTAGAAGGAGAGACCATAAGAAGACACCACAAAAATGTGTATATTATGCCATCCTCTTCCGACCAAAAAATCCGGTAACATTGCAGGTTTTGGTGGTAGACAAAAGATCAGACAAAAGAACATTGTTAGGTCCATTACTTCCGAGCCCTGGTCATTTTTGACCCAAAAAATTTTAGTCAAAAAATCATAAACAATTCTTCTGTTATGCAGATCTGCACATAGTTCTACAAGAATGCTTTTGTAACATTAGAGTTGTTTTTACTTTCAAATGGCGGAACAATGAAACCTGACACCTGCCGGCTTGGTGTTATGTCAGGGACTTCTTCTTCGACCATGGAGGTATTGTTGTATGTTTCGAGTTTCCATATTTTAATTTTTTTTTTATTTTTGGATTCGCTGTGATTGACTTGTATCCATCAAATTAGGTATTCCAGAAAACTGGTTCGATAAAATAACTCCACTAATTTTGATTCCACAGAAAAAAAAAATATTTCTGTAATGTGTTATTATTATTGTTAGCCGGTGTTGTTGGGAATTGTTTTGTTGTTGTTGTCTTTGGCCAATAATGCTCATGATAATGCTGTTGATGATGATGATAATACCCGGACTAGTGTGGTGTTATTGTAGCTGGTGTTGCTATTGGCCGTATAACTTTGGCGTTTGCCACTGCTGCTCTTGTAATGCAAGAGTGTTTGTGTGTGTATGTGTTCGTTTGTTTGTTTGCTGCACCACCCCTTTTTTCCTATGGCTGGCTCACTATGTCAGTGGGTTTGTTGGTTGCTTTGATTTGATTCACTTTTTTTTTCTTTTCGAATTCATGCAGTTTTAGTATAAAAGTTAGTGGCCCCGCTTAGCCAGGTATCAGTAATTCGTTTACTGTGCAGCTATACACAACCCCCCAAAAAGGCATAGCAGAAAAGCACAGCGTCAAGAAAGTGTTGTAAAAAACAGAAACGGAGTGCGTTTCCTTAAACAATTTGCGTGTGACTCGAACGATAGAAAGTAAATATTCAAAAAAAAATAAAATTAAATTTGAAAAAAATATTTAAAAAAATTGATTTAAAAAAATAATTTAAAAAAATTAAAGCCAATACAAAACGAAAAAACAATAAATCAAAATATTGAACTCAAAGACTAAGCTGAAAAAAAAAAAAATTTATTCGAACAAAAAAACTAAAAAAAAATATCTGCAACTGCAAAAGAAAGTTCGTTTCCTAAGTCTTTTGTTTTTCGCTCATACGAATATTTTTTCTTCCTACTTCTTCTTTTCATATGTACGTGTATTTGTGTCTGTGTGTGTGCACATTCGATCTCAACAGCATTACTGTGTACAACTATTGTTAGAAGAGGATTACATTTTCTCGGAGGATATACAAGGCGTGATTTGTTTTGCAAGGATAAACCAACAATAACAACATAAACAAGGATTAACAATGAAATTAATGGTGAGTATAAACTAAGGAAGGATAATATGGGGAATAAAGTACTAACATGGACCTTCCACCGGCTAAAGAAATCACTTGAAAAATTAGAGTAAATAACCTTCAAAATAACGAAAATCGGAAGCTACCTACATAGGGGTCTTATGGTCCAATGTTGAACACATTATTTGGAAGCAATATTTTTCGCTAAATTTGGCGCAGACGAAAGGACACATAAATTAAAAAAAAATGCTTTCAAAAATAATCCAAAACCTTAAAAATATCATAAATCGGTAAGAGGGTTATCGGAGGTCCATGAAAAATGGCTCATATTAAATAAATATAATATAGAGCAGAAATGTCCCTCATAAACCTCCTATCGGCTAAATAAATCACTTGAAAAATTGGAGTAAAAAACCTTCAAAATAACGAAAATCGGAAGCTACCTACATAGGGGTCTAATTTCGGACCTATGTTAAACAACTTTTTAGATACAAATGTTCCACCAAAAATTAGCCTAGATACTGAAATACATAAATTTCAGTCAACCAGATGCAGAAAGGAACCCAAAATCCTTTTAAATGCAACAAATCGGTAAGAGGGTTATCGGATGTATATGAAAAAAAAATTATCCGATGTGGCTCATATTCAATAACGATAATAGGGAGCAGAAATATCTCTCGTGGACCTTGTACCAGCTAAAGTAGACATTTGGAAGAATTAAGGTTAAATAACTTAAAAAAACGAAAATCGAAAGCTAACTACATAGGGGTCTTATGCCGGTCCAATACTAAACAACACTTTTTGGATGTAAATTGTCCACCAAAAATTAGCCTAGATGCTGAAACACATAAATTTCAGTCGACCAGATTCAGAAAATAGCCCTAAATCCTTTAAAATACCAAAAATCGGTAACAGGGTTATCGGAGGTCTATGAAAATGTTTCACCTATTTGGCTTATATTCAATAAGAATAATAAGGAGCAGAAATATCCCTCACGGACCTTCTACCGGCTAAAGAAGTCATTTGGAAGAATTTTAGTTAAAATAAATTAAAAATAACGAAAATCGGAAGCTACCTACATAGGGGTCTTATGTCGGAACAATGTTAAATAACTTTTTTGGATGTAAATTGTCCACCAAAAATTAGCCTAGATGCTGAAACACATAAATTTCAGTCGACCAGATTCAGGAAAGAACCAAAAAAAACATAAAAAATCGGAAACAGGGTTATCGGAGGTCTATAACAACATTTTCACCGATATGGCTCATATTCAATAAGGACAATTAGGAGCAAAAATGCCCCTCATGGACCTTCTACCGACTAAAGAACCTATTTGGAAAAATTAAATTTAAAATAACAAAAATCGGAAGGTACTTACATAGGGGTCTTATGCCGGACCAATTTTAATTAACTTTTTTTCGACGCAAATGTTTCACCAAAAATTAGCCTAGATGCTTAAATACACAAATTTCAGTCAATCAGAATCAGAAAAGAGCCCAAAATCCTTTAAAATACCAAAAATCGGCCAGAGGGTTATATGAGGTCCATGACAAAATTTTCACTGATTTGGCTAATATTCAATACCAAATAACCTCCACATAAGTCCAACCTCCATACCAATTTTCAACGGCCTAACTTAAAAAAATGTTCAAAAAATCCTCAAAATGTCAAAAATCGGTCAGAGGGTTATTTAAGGTCCATGGCCAAACTTGCACCGATTTGGATAATATTCAATACCAAATAACCTTCACTTGAGACAAACCTCCATACCAAATTTCGACGGTCTAACTAAAAAAACTGAGGACTCTATTTTGATTTTTATACGAAGTCCAATTTTTATACAAAGACCGGTACTTTTCAGTCCTTGCCATTTTTGATCGTAGAAACCTCAGACAAACTTCTCTGGAATGGTTCACCATGAAATACAAAAACTTATAGAAATCGAAAAAAAAATAATTTTTTATAAGTTTCCGATTGGTTCCGATACTTCTAAACCCTTGGCATTTTTGGCCCTAGAAGAGTCAGAAAAATTTCTTTCGAATTGTAATGACATTCAGATTCATATGGAATACAAAATATTGAAAGAAATAAAAATTGTGGACTCCATTCCGATTTCAAAGCAGGATCCGCTACTTTTCAGCCTTGGCAATTATTGGTCATAGCAACCTCAGACCAACTTTTTTGAAGTTGTTATGACTTGCAGATCATTATGGAACAATAAAATTTGAAATTAAAAAAAAAAAGTATCGAAAATCGATAACAGGGTTATCGGCGGTCTATGACAAAACTTGCACCGATTTGACTCATTTTCAATATCAAATAACCTTTATATCAGAAAATCCTCCATACCAAATTCCAAAGCTCTAAATAAAATTTTGAGAACTCCACTTCGATTTTAACGAAACGTACGGTATTTTCAGCCCTTGCCATTTTTGGTCCTACGAAGCTCAGACAAATTTCTTTTGAATTTTTATGGCCTGTGAATACATATGGTAAACGAAAATGTTAAAACAAAATCAATAGTTCCTCAAAATACCAAAAATGGATAAACAGGGTCATCGGAGGTCCATGACAAAACATGCACCGATTTGGCTCATATTTACTACCAAATAACCTTCACATGGGACAAAACTCCATACCAAATTTCAAAGCTCTAACTAAAAAAATTGTGGACTTCACATCGATTTTAATACGAAATCTGCTACTTTTCAGTCCTGATTATTTTTGGTATTACGAAACTCAGAACAACTTCTTTGGACTTGTTATGACCTGCAAACCAATATGAAATACCAAAAATTTTTAAAATTTTCAAAAATCCTCCAAATAAAAAAAATCGGAACCAGGGTTATATCAGGTCCAAGACAATATTCGCATCGATTTTGCTCGATTTTCAATATCAAGAGACCTTGGTATAAGGCAAACCTCTATACCGAATTTCAAAGCTCTAACTAAAAAATTGTGGACTTCACTTCGATGTTAATACAAAGTCCGACACATTTTAGCCCCTGCCATTTTTGGTTCTAGAATGGCAAGACTAATTTCTTTTGAATTGTTATGACTTGCAATCAATATGGAATACCAAAAATTTCAAAACAAATTGTAAAAGATTCTCAAAATCCCAAAAAAAATGGTAACAGGGTTATCGGAGGTCCATGACAAATTTTTCACCGGTTTTGCTCAAAGTCATTACCAAATAACCTTGACATGAAACAAACCTCCATAGCAAATTTCAAAGCCCTAACTAAAATTTTGAGGACTCCACTTCGATTTTAAAGAAAAGTTCGGTATTTTCAGCCCTTGCCATTTTTGATCCTAGAAAGACCAGACAAATTTCTTTCGAATTGTAAGGACATTCTGTTCACCATAAAATATGAAAAATTCAAAAAAAAATTCAAAAATATATATATATTTTTTTTTAAAGGACATGGCCACATGGCCTACAGATCCATGTGGAATACCAAAACTGTTTAAAAATTTCAAAAAAAAATCCTCAAAATATCTCAAATCGGTAAGAGGGTCATACGAGGTCCAGGACAAAATCGGAACCGATTTGGCTCATATTCAATACCAAATGAAATCGGTGTAAGGTAAACCTCCACACCAAATTTCAGAGTTATAGCTGAAAAATTGTGGGCTCTATTATGATTTTAATACGAAGTCCTGCACTTTTCAGCCCTTTCCGTTTTTGGTCCTACGAAGCTCAGATAAATTTCTTTTGAATTTATATGGCCTTTAGATCCATAAAGTAACCTAAAATATTAAAAAAAAATCAAAAATTCCAAAATGCAAATAATCGGTGACAGGGTCATCGGAGGTCTATGACAAAATTTTCACCGATTTGCCTGATTTTCAATACCAAACGGCCTTGGTGTAAGGTAAACATCCATACCAAGTTTCGACGGTCTAACTAAGAAATTGTGGACTCTATTTCGATTTTTATACGAAGTCCGCTACTTTTCAGCCCTGGCCATTTTTGGTCCTATAAAGGCCACACAAATTTCTTTTTAATATTAATGGCATTTAGATCGATATTGTAACCTAAAATGTAAAAAAAATTCAAAAATTCCTCAAAATGCCAAAAATCGGTAACAGGGTCATCGAAGGTCTATGATAAAATTTTCACCGATTTGCTGATTTTCAATACCAAACGGCCTTGGTGTACCATACCAAATTTCGACGGTCTAACTAAAAAACTGTGGACTCCGTTTTGATATTTATACGAAGTCCGCTACTTTTCAGCCTTTGCCCTTTTTTGGTCCTAGAAAGGTCAGACAAATTTATGTTGATTTTTTTATGGCCTGCAGATCCATGTGGAATACCAAAACTATTTAAAAATTTCAAAAAATACTCAAAATATCAAAAGTCTGTAAGAGGGTCATACGAGGTCCAGGACAAAATCTGAACCGATTTGGCTCATATTCAATACCAAATGAAGTCGGTGTAAGGTAAACCTCCATACCAAATTTCAAAGCTCTACCTAAAATATTATGGACTCCATTCCAATTTTTATACGAAGTCCGGCACTTTTCAGCCCTGGTCATTTTTGATCCTAGAGAGCTCGACAAATTTCTTTTGAATTGTTAGGACCTTCTGAACATCATGGACTACTTATAATACCAAAAATTAATAAAAAACGGAAAAATTACCATTAAAATTTATTCCGATATGATCCGCTACTTTTCGGCCTTCGCCATTTTTTATCGTAGGAACCTCAAACAAATTTCCTTTGGATTGTAATGACGTTCAGATTATTTTGAAACAGAAAAAATCAAAAATTAAAAAAAATCGTATTTTTAGGTTATGTTCGAAAGATCGGAACTTTTTATCCCTTGCGATTTTCATTGCTAGAAACCTCGGATAAAAAATTTTCAAATTGGTTATAAGCGCATATATTAATGGCTTCCTAAAAACACAAACAAATCATGAATTTAAATTTTTTGAATTTTGAGGTTAGTTCCTGCACTTCTCGGACCTCGCGGTTTTTTTGGAGATAGAAAACGCGGACAAAAAAATTTTAAATTGTTTTTTGTTGTGCAGATTAAAATAACATTTAAAAATTTTCAATTTTAAAATTTTCATAGTTTGAGGTTAGGTCCGAAACATTTCGGACCTTCCGGACCTTAACGCTAGGAACCTCGAATGAAGTTTTTTTCATGGTATATGGTTCAGACTTTAATAGCTTTCACAAAAATACCAAAAAAACTACCTATTTATAACTTTGTTATTTTGAGGTTAGGTCCGACACTTTCCGAACCTCGCGGTTTTTGGTAATAGAAATGCCGGATAAAAAATTTTCAAATTTGTTTTGAGTTCAGATATATATGCCATTAAGAAAATATCAAAAAATTAAGAATTTTCATTTTTCATATTTTGAGGTTAGGTCCGCTACCTGTCGGCCCTTGTGGTTTTTGATGCTACAAACTCCGAAAAAACATTTGTTTTCAATTTGTTTATGGTACAGACTTTAATAGCATTCGCAAAAATGCCAAAAAATTGCAAATTTAAGATTTTCATATTTTGAGGTTAGGTCCGACACTTTTCGATCCTCCCCATTTTTGGTCCTAGAAACATCAAACAAAAAAATTTCGACTTGGAACTTTATGTAGATGATATTGGCATTCTAAAACTTCCAAAAATTACAAATTTCATTTTTTCATATTTTGAGGTTAGGTCCGACACTTTTACGCCCTTGCGATTTTTAGGCCTAGCAAATTCGGACAAAAAAATTAAATTGGTTTATGGAGTAGATTTGTATGCCAGTTAAAAAGTTTACAAAAAATTACGAATTTTGATTTTCCGATTTTGAGGTTAGGTCCACTTTTGCCCCCTATTATGATATTTTTCTAATAAATCCCCCTTTCCTCTCTCTTCTTCTTTTTCTTCCCCATTTATTCCAGCGATCAACGTTCCTTTTGGCAGCACTGCTACTAGTCGCCACAGTGCGGGCCGAAGAAGAAAAGCAGAAATCCGCCGCAGCTGAAAAACAAGTGGAGCAGGCAAATGATGAAAAGCAGGCTGAAGAAACCACCAAATCGAAACGTGGACTTCATCATCATGAAACCTATCATCATCATGTCCATCACTATCCTGTCCATGAGGAGAAAACTTTAACAATTATCAAGAAAATTCCCTATCCCGTCAAGGTGGAAAAGGAAGTCCATGTACCCGTTGAAAAGATTGTTCACGTTCCCTATGAGGTGAAAGTGCCCAAACCATATCCCGTGGTCAAGCATGTACCTTATGAAGTGAAAGAAATTGTTAAAGTTCCTCACGAAGTGCCAGCTCCATATCCCGTCGAAAAGAAAGTTCCAGTACCAGTACATGTACCCTATGATCGTCCAGTCCCAGTTAAGGTTTACGTACCAGCACCCTATCCCGTAGAGAAGAAGGTGCATGTGCCCGTTAAGGTGCATGTTCCAGCACCATATCCAGTGGAGAAGAAGGTCCCATACCCTGTGAAGGTCCATGTGCCTGTGGAGAAACCATATCCCGTTGAAAAGGTGGTGCATTATCCCGTTAAGGTTCCAGTTGAGAAACCCGTCCCCTATAAGGTGGAGAAACCCGTCCCCTATGAAGTGGAGAAACCAGTACCTGTACATGTTATCAAGAAGGTCCCTGTACCCGTACATGTCCCCTATGACAGACCCGTGCCAGTGCATGTTGAAAAACCCGTACCCTATGAAGTTAAGGAACATGTCCCACAACCCTATCCCGTTGTTAAGGAAGTTCCAGTGAAGGTTGAAAAGGAGGTTCACTATCCTGTACATGTACCCTATGAAAAGCCTGTGCCAGTCCACTTAGAGAAACACATACCCGAATATCATGAGAAACACATTTCGTACAAGGAACCTGAATTCCAATACAAGAAAATCGAACATCACGAACCTGAACACAAAGTCGAAGAAAAGGAGGAAGAGGGTGGCCACAAGGAGGTCGAAGAGATCAAGGAAATACACGAAGAACCAGAAGAGGTGGATCATGAGAAATATAGTCATGATTATAGTCATAGTTATTATCATCATCATCAGTAAATCCCGATGATTACTAATTCGAAATTTTTTCTCTCTCTCTTTTTTCTTTCTTTCTCTGTTTTTTCTTGATCTCTTTTGTTTTCCGAACAGCATCACTAAACGAAACAATCTGAAACGATCTCACAAAATAAACCCGTATAAAACCGAATCGCAATCAAGTCATCAAAAACTTGACCCTCATTGTGTTGAGAGAGAGTGCGAGAGCGAAAGAGAGAGCTTCAGAGTGATTTTGAATGGTTGGTGTCTTGGCTAATGAGAATTATGAAATTACAATTGAGAAGAAGAAAAAAAGTGAGAGACCTAAAATTCCCTGATGAGACTGGACTTTGTTACAAGGCTTATTCTGCTTCCTCTTCTCCCACAGGAGAAATAGGATAATGACCCCCATGGACCTAGTATAACCTCAACGTGATAATGGCCTCAAAAGAAAAAATAGGAAAAAACTATTCAATACCAATTAAGGATAGTAGTTAAGAGATTGTTAGTACAGTAGATACAGTACCAAGGAACCAAGGATAATAATAAAAATTAGGCCTCAAATAATCTCTTAAAAACCCTAACCTTAAATAATCCACCCCTTTGACCCCCAATTGTAGTTAATATTATTTAGAGATTTTTTTAATTTACATCTAAGCCATTTTTTATTTTGTACAGTACATTTCTAAGTTTTTTTCAATTTTTAAGGCAATGTCAACTTACGATAAGATTTTTTTATAAGGATAACTAATTTATATATATATACGATTTTTGGCACCATGTTTTTTATGGTGTTCCCCGAAGAACCCCAAAGACTCTATGGATAAGTTTTAAAATGTTCCTCTCTGAACCTCTAAGTGCCGTCCAGCTAACAACCGTATTTGTAAAATAATAATAATATTTATAAAGTGTGTTTGTACCATGAGACGTCAATAGTATTCTAATCATATATAGTGAAACAATTTATATATAGCCAAATTTTATTATTAAGACGAAATAAAAAAATAAATAAATGAAAAAAGAGAATATTTTTTTTCAAAACTAAAAAAAAATGGTTTGGAATTTCAATGGAAGGGGTATATAAAATAAACTACGAGGAAAAACGAACCGGTTTCCAAAAATTTTTGAACCGGATATTCAGATAATAAAACCGGTTCAATAAATTTAGAACGCTTGTTTATTAGCCTTCTAAAGATATGCATATAAAGAACTGAAACCGGTTTTATTATCTTAATATCCGGTTCAAACATTTTGAAAACCGGTTAGTTTTTCCTCGAAATTGATTATTATTTTTATTTATTTTTTTTATTTTATTTATTTATTTATTTTTTTTTTTTTTATACCCTTCACCACACTGTGGTACAGGGTATTATGTCTTTGTGCATATGTTTGTAACAGGCAAAAGGAAACGAGATAGACACATGGTTCCTTTTGAGAATATGCATAGAATCACTTTCTAAGTCGATTTATGCATGTCCGTCCGTCCGTCTGTCTGTCTGTCTGTGCATGTTAAATTGTAAACAAAGTACAGGTCGCATTTATGATCCGAATTGGATGAAATTTGGCATAGGTCACTTATTCGGCCCAAGGACGAACCCTATTGAAATTGGGAAAAATCGGTTCAGATTTAGATATAGCTCCCATATATATATTTAACCGATTTAATGTAAACAGTCCCTATATATCTTTCGATTTGCACGAAATTTGGTACAGCCTAATCATTTAGGTCTAGAATTATGTCTGCCAAGTTTCGTGAAAATCGGTCCAGATTTAGATATAGCTTCCATATATAGTTTCGTCCGATTTCATGTAAATGGTGCACCAAAGTCCCTATATATCTTTCGATTTGCACGAAATTTGTCATAACGTACTGAATTAAGCCTAGAGAGATGTCTGCCAAGTTTCGAGAAAATCGGTCCAGATTTCTATATAGCTCCCATATATAGTTTCGTCCGATTTCATGTAAATGGTGCCCCAAAGTCCCAATATATCTTTCGATTTGCACGAAATTTGGCATAACGTACTGAATTAAGCCTAGAGTGATGTCTGCCAAGTTTCGAGAAAATCGGTCCAGATTTAGATATAGCTCCCATATATAGTTTCGTCCAATTTCATGTAAATGGTGCACCAAAGTCGCTATATATCTTTCGATTTGCACGAAATTTGGCATAACGTACTGAATTAGGTCCAGAATGATGTGTGTTAAATTTCCTGAAAATCGGTTCAGGTTTAGATATAGCTCCCATACATATTTTCGTCCGATTTTAGGTAAATATTGCACCAAAGTCCCTATATATCGTTAGATTTGCACGAAATTTGGCATAGCGTACGGAATTAGATCTAGAACGATGTGTGTAAAATTTCGTGAAAATCGGTTCAGATTTAGATATAGCTCCCATATATATTTTCGTCCGATTTTAAGTAAATAGTGCATCAATGTCCCTATATATCCTTCGATTTGCACGAAATTTGGGATAGCGTACTGAATTATGTCTGGAACGATGTGTGTTAAATTTCGTGAAAATAGGTTCAGATTTAGATATAGCTCCCATATATATTTTCGTCCGATTTTATGTAAATGGTGCAACAATGTCCCTATATATCCTTCGATTTGCACGAAATTTCGCATAGCATACTGAACTAAGTCTAGAACGATGTGTGTTAAATTTCGTGAAAATCTGTTCAGATTTAGATATAGCTCCCATATATATTTTCGTCCGATTTTGGATTTATAAGTAAATAAAGAACTCAAAATGTGGCCGAATGCAAAAACCATACTGAAATAAGTGTAACCTATATTTCGATATTTCGCTTTAAATTTATTTACATTATTTTGTCCCATCGTAAGAAGCAACTCTATACCTGTCCAAAATTTAGTATAGGTTGCAGAATGACATGTTTAATTTCATGTTAATGGTTCTTCAATAATGCGACGTCTGTTAGGATTCATCTGTTTAATATACCCACAGTGGTGAAGGGTATCATATAGTCGGTCCCGTCCGACTTTACTACTTTCCTTACTGGTTTTTTTTGACGTATTTGACATAACTATATATGTTTTTAGAAAATTAAATGTCAAAAAATAAATTTAGACGAACAAGGAACCGGGTTTCAAAATTTTTGAACCGGATATTCAGATAATAAAACCTATAACAGTCCGGTTCAATAAAATTATAACGCTTGTTTAGTAGTTTTCTACAGATATGTATATAAAATACTGAAACCGGTTTTATTATCATAATATTCGGTTTGATATTTTTGAAAACCGGTTCCTTTTCTCAATCTTAAAAAAATACATACTATAGGTATTAATAAAGATATGAAGCTCTCTCACTTTAAGTATAATAGGGTCGCCAGCAAAAACATGACAAATTTTCGAACTTTAACCTTAGGCGAATTTTTCCTTTTGGGGTTTTCATATACTCACAACGGCCTTTCAACACCAATAGGAATTTTTCACCCTCCAGACTATAACCTCAATTTTGTCCCACAGTTTTATCAATAGGTTTCAAGAGGTCTTTTATAGCCCGAAGACCCTTAAGGTGTTCTGTACAAAGAACACACTTCCAGAGCGGACCTAAAGCCAGACATAAGATCCCCCTTTACGAATTCTTCTATAGATAGAGAAAACAGAAGCTCCTAAAGGTCTATTAGGGGTTTTTATTAATTAGAAGATCTTTAAAGAGGTTTTCTAGAGGTTCAATACAATAAACACCCTTTTAGAAGAAGTTTTTCATATAAAATATAATCTTCTAAAGTTATTGTATAGGCAGATGGGCCTTCATCTACCCACAAATAATGTCTTCTATTGATTTTGTTTTTTAATAAATAGAAGATCTTCACTGGGGGTTTCTTGAGGTCTTTTATCGGCCAAAGACCCATGAAGAATTATTTACAAAGAATGTACTTCTAAAATTGGTCAATAGCCAAAAGTCCCCTATAGAAGTTTTCCATATATGTGTAAAATACTCTTCCGAATTCTTGTATAGATACAGAAGACCCTTTTAATAATCTTCTTTAAATAGAAGAGTCTTCAAGAGTCCTTTTATTCGGGATTTATATAATTAGAATATATTTAAAGAGGACAAAGACCCTAAAAGGCCTTGACAAAGATTCTTTATAAATATAAGGCCATTTACATATTCTTGCAAAGATAGAACCCCTTCTAGAAGTCCTCTGTAGACAGAATAGCCTTTACAAGCGACTAAAAAGGCCGTATAGCGGATTTTTTATAAATATCAGTTATTTGAATAAGGTTTGTGGAGGTCTATAATAGAAGAAGTTTTCCATATATAAAAATTAATGAATTTTAATTTTGTATATCGCTCTCCGTCTCTTTGTCATTTTTGCAACCATTTATTTGACTACTATTTCTGTTGCTAACAACCGCCGACTTTCCCTTCACTCGATTGTGCCTAGAATTGCATTCCATTCTTTCCCTAATTCAGCACCCACACGCACACAGTAAAATTTCCGCTAAACGTAATATTAAAGCTATGTAAAAGCTATGTAAAGTCGGACGGAGCCGACTATATGATACCCTTCACCACTTTGGGTATATTCAACAAATGAATCCTAACAGACGTCGCATTTTTAAAGGACCAGTAAAATTAAATTGGATCCATAAACATGCCAGTCTGCAATTAATTACGATGTACCAAATTTCGTGCAAACCGAAAGATATTAAGGGACTTTGGTACAACATTTACCTTAAATCGGACGAAATTATATATGGGAGCTATATCTAAATCTGAACCGATTTTCACGAAATTTAACACAACTCATTCTAGGCCTACTTCATTACGCTGTGCCAAATTTCGTGAAAATCGAAGGATATATAGGGACTTTAGTGCACCATATACATAAAATCGTACGAAAATATATATGGGAGCTATATCTAAATCTGAACCGATTTTCAGGAAACTTAACACACGTCGTTCTAGGCTTAATTCAGAATGCTTTGCCAAATTTCGTGAAATCGAAGGATATATAGGGACTTTGGTGCACTATTTACCTAAAATCGG